ATTTCTTTTTTCAAATGGTAAAAATAATATGAAAATTAAAAATAAAGAACTTGAAAAGTAACTGTGCAGACCCATAGGAGCGCTATATATATAGCAACTGAGCACCTTTGAGAGGTAGTACATAGCAACCAAAGCGGAATTTTGGAGCACGGTGGCCACTGAGCACGTTTTCTCTTGAAGTTTAAAAACTGGCACTTAAAAGTTTCATACAAATTTTAGAAATTTCACACAAAACTGTATGGATGTGGTCTAAGTGACTTTCATGTATTGTTTGATTTTTTTATATTTTATCCTGCAAAAAAGAAAAGAAAATCAGGCCAAAAAAATAATTGATTTTGCATGTATTTTACTTTTTTGTATCTCTCACAAACAAATACTTATTTTGATTAAAAAAATTGCACGGATATATTGCACTTCTATGTGTGCATGTACACAAAACGTAAGAAGTTTTTTAGCTCTAAAACTCCATTTATTTGACTTTCGAAAAAAGGGCATAATGTGCCGGTGCTTCAAAATTACATTTTTGCATAGCAACGCAATATATAAAGTTTGACCTAGTCTATATCTACTAACCACATTATGGCCTGGTGGACAACCTGTGCGTGCAACAGAGTCTGTAAATTTGTGGGGCTTTCCTATGTGATTAAATCAAACATGAGGAGGTTTGGGCCACCGGCACGTTGGCATGCCGCGCGGGCTGGACGTACGTCAGGATACGAATGGAGGCACATTATTTGCACAGTCGGACAATTTAAAGCCCCGGTTTCATGTATTTTACAACTTTAGATACTAAACTGACCGCGTAAAACAAGTTGAGGCACCTCCAACATATTTAACTCAATGTTTTTGTTATTCTGCTTTAGCTTTTGTAGTGTTCAAGGATGATGTAAGACCAGGTTTCATTATAGGGAGGCCTCTCTTTTGCTAAAAAGAAAAGAAAAACTGCACTATGTGGTTCTACTTGAAGAAAAATGGACGGATTTGCTTTAGTATGTGTAGTGGAGTAGCTTTTACCCAAGCTCAGTAGATGAGTGGGCGTGTATAACAAAATGTCTTATGGGGTGGGACGTCAAAATCAAAGTGATACGTATATCGAATGTTTTCTACAGTTTGACCTGCAATGTACGGTTGTATACTACGGATGGGAGGGATGGCCGGCTTGGACGACGATGTCCTTGAGGCCTCGTTCGGTTGGGCAGGGTTTGGAGAGGTTTGAAAGGGATTGGAGGGGATTAAATTCCTTGCAAGTCAAAATCCTCGTCAAACCTCCCCAATCCCCTCCAATCCCTGTGGCGAGCGGATTAAACGAATAGGGCCTGAGGGTATTATGGCCATCCGCCTAGTCCTTGTGCTCATAGCAGATATTGTATTATCAATCCGAATTGTTAAATCTCAGTCGACGGAGACTTCACCAAATCTCAGTCGATACTATATTCATGGATCTTACATATGGATCGTGCAATTTTTTATTTTGTCTTTCTTACTTGTTATATCACTCAACTTAGATTTGGATACATTAAACCTACCTACACCATTGTGGATACATTAAAATAGTGGTCTTCCACTAACAACATGATAAAGTGCTTCCTTTCTGCGCCACCCCGGCGAATAAACCAAAAGGCAACTACGTTCTCTCCATCCAAGAGCAAGCTCGTTTCTTTTGAGCTCCCAAACGCCGGCCGGGCATGTAAAATCACCATAATGGAGGTCACCGTACACTCGTCCAAGCCCGTGAAGCCTGACTACGGTGACCGCGGCGGCCCCTCCCCCGACATCGTCCCGCTCAGCGTATTTGACAAGGTGAGCTACGAAACTCACCGGCCTGTGCGCGGCCTTCCACCCGCCTGCGCCGGCGAACAACGTCCTTGAGGTGGGGCTCGCTAAGGCGCTGGCCGAGTACCGCGAGTGGGCAGGGCGGCTCGGCGCGGACGCCGGGGGCAACCGTGCCATCGTGCTGGACGATGCCGGCGCGCGGTTCGTCGAGGCGACGGCGGACGTCGTGCTCGCCAGGAGCCTCATGCAGCTGACCACGGGTGACAAGCTGCTGAGCCTGTTCCCGAGCTGCCACGGCGCCGACGAGCTGCTGCTGGCCCAGGTCACGCGGTTCCGGTGCGGCTCCATCATCATTGGCGTGAGCATGCATCACAAGGTGGCCGATGGGCACGCCATCTGGACTTTCTTGTTCGCGTGGGGCCAGGCCACCCGCGGCGTCGCCATCAGCCCCGTCCCGGTGCACGACCCGGCGTCACTATTTGCGCCACGGGACCCGCTGCGGATCGAGTTCGACCACCGCGGCAACGAGTTCAAGTCTCACGGCGACAAGTCGGGAGGCACCCACGCCGGCGATGAGACACTGATACACAGGGTGCACTTCAGCCGGGAGCGGATCATGGCGCTCAAGTCGAAGGCGTCGGAGGGTGCCACCCGGCCGTACACCACGCTGCAGTGCCTGGCGGCGCACCTCTGGCGGTGCATCACCAAGGCGCGCGGGCTGGACGTGGGTGCGACCACCAGGATGCGCATCGCCGTGAATGGGCGGACGCGGATGAGCGGCCCAAAAGTCCCCTTGGGGTATACCGGCAACGTCGTGCTCTGGGCGTGGCCGACGACCACTGCGCAGGAGTTGGTGGACCGGCCGCTCCGGGACACCGTGGAGCTCATTTCACGGGAGGTGGCCCGCATCGACGACGCCTACTTCAGGTCGTTCATCGACTTCGCGAGCTCCGGGGAGGTGGAGAAGGAGCAGCTGGTGCCGACGGCGGACTCGCTAGAGTTGACGCTGAACCCGAACGTGGAGGTGGACAGCCTGCTGGGGATCCCGTTCTATGAGATGGACTTGGGCGGCAGCCGGCCCTTCTTCTTCTTGCCCGGATACAGCAACGTGCCGGTGGATGGGTTCATGTACATCGTGCAATCCTTCGAGGGCGACAGGAGCGTGGACGCCTACGTGCCTCTCTTCGGCCGCACCATGGAAGCCTTCAACAAGTGCTGCTACTCCTCCATGCCGCCCATGGCCGACCAAGGCGCTTATTAGGTGCATGCCTGGGCGCCGGTTTAGTGTTAGATACATCCGTATCTAGACAAATTTAAGACAAGATTTTTGGGACGGAGTGAGTAGTTGCATTGATTGCATACGCATGAAGAGAGTCTTGTCCATCTCGGCGGATCCAAACAATTGTTGCTGTAGTCTATGTATTGCGCTACCAATTGGTAGATGCAAATTCGGAATAAAAGTTGGAGACACTTCTTTATCAAAATGTATTTTCTTAATCTTTACATGTGGATGTGGCACACACAGGCGTCGACGCTCGGAAACTCACCTATGCCAACGGGAGGAGTCCCGTCAACACCGCAAAGAGGGCATGCCCATCCACATAAAATTTGAAAACTGATCAGAGCCTCCCGTCGCTACACCCCTCGCTGTCCACACGACCAAAAAGTGAAGCCACCACCATCACCATGGAACCTGTTGGAAAGGAAACGGGAAGCCCGCCATTCGGGTTCGCCGCCCGCCATCCCCTAGACACCATCAATCATACACTTCACTGCCACACAACCACGGAAGGATGAATGAGAGGCACCTCCTTCCACTCCTTGCCCAACTTCAACCATCGGATCCGGGTCGGTGCTTCCACGAAAGAAAGCGCCTACACTTACGTCTCTAGCAGGCCCCGATGGACCGGGATGATACAACCTAGTGACCATTGACAACCGTCAGCGAGTATGCTTGAACGCCGTCGTGTGTTGATCAAAGTCGTTGATCCGGTTGACGAACGGGGCACACGTTCTCGCATGTTACATCTAAAATACAATACAACACTACTACACGAAGATGATCACCAGCACGATTCCAGATTAAAGTAATGAATCACATAGATTAACAAAATAGCCGGCCTCAATGCGTGGATATTCAAGAGCCTCCCCTGGTCGTGAAGTGGATTATTTCACGGTCGTTTTGTCGTGCCCTGTCTATGTTCTTCTGAAATTATGATGTTTGGACCCTGGCAACAACTGGTCAGCAGAAGAAGCTTTGTATCATCGAATGTGGTGGCTCGACGCGCCGTGTTAGTTTGTCTGCATGCGCTACCTGTAGCTCTGTCCTCGGCGCCGGCTGGCCTGGCATTTTAGCTTGAACATGTGATGTCGACCAATTGGTCATCCTCTCAATGGCTTATGTGGCCGGCCAAACATTGCAAAGGAATTCCAACTCATCTTCTACCTACAAGCTGTCGACCGGCCCGGTGTCACGCTCTGTGATGGTCGCCTGGTGGCAATAAGAAACAGTGCAAGCATATTTTACATGTTTTTGTCGGAGGCGCACAATCGAGCACGACAGCGACATTTGTTAACGAGATTGAGTAATTTTACCTATTCTCTTCTGTCTATGTACTAATCAACATAATACAACCGACGACAAACCCGCCAAAGCTAACAGACAAATCAGAATCTCTATGACTCTATGCCACGCCCGTCTGGCCGCCCCTGCCGTCCCCTTGTGATCTTGTGTCTAGCCTAGCTGCCATCTTTCATCTAAACTATTTTTGCTACTTACGGTGCCTTTATATATTCGGATTGCCAATTCTTCTTTACATGAGATTAAACAAACAAAAAGAATCTTACAAATCTCCGGGTAAAATCCAACAGTGTAAGAGTTACTAGATGAGATATAGTTATGTGTCTTCTAGATGAGAGTTAGACACAACCTTATATATCGGGCCCACGGTACAAGGGTTTGACTCAAACACCTAATCTACCGCCTATAATTACAAGTTCAAATGTTTCACAACTCATACACATATTCTAACACATATCTCAACAATACATCTCACCATCCAAACTCGAGATGCCAATAAATAGAACGGGGACGCAAGCACATTCCCTAGATCCAAGGTCGATCAAATTCCCTTGTCAGTGTTAGGATGACCCAGGTCAAGTAGGCTAGCTTGTCGTCTAATTTGAGTTCATTGCAAGCGATCCATACATAAATCATCCTAGTTGTAATGGAGATCACCGTGCACTCGTCGAAGTCCTTGAAGCCCGACAACGGGGACGGTTGCAGGGTCGCCGGCGACGTCATCCCATTAAGTGTGTTCGACATGGTGAACTACGACGAGTACATCTTCTACGTGTACGCTTTCCACCCGCCCGCGCCACCCAGCGTCGCCCTCGAGGCGGGGCTCGCCAGGGCGCTGGCCGCGTACCTCGAGTGGGCAGGCCGCCTCGGCGACGGCCCCGTGATCGTGCTCTGTGACGCCGGCGCACGGTTTGTCGACGCTACCACCGACTCCGAGCTGGGCAGCGGCGCCGTCGCGCTTCTGGCTGCTGGAAGCAAGGTGCTGAGCCTATACCCTAGTTGAGGAGCTGCTGCTGGTTCAAGCCACGCGGTTTCGCTGCGGCTCCTTGGTCCTGGGCTTCACCATACACCACAAGGTGGCCGACGGGCCTGCCATGTGGAACTTCATGGCCGCGTGGGGCCAGGCCACTCGCGGCGTCGCCATCAACCCCGTCCAGGTGCATGATCGGACGTCACTCTTCGCAAGACGGGGCCCACCGCAAACAGGGGCGGAGCCAGGGGGACGAACAGGGGCCTGCTGTTGGAAATATGCCCTAGAGGCAATAATAAATTGATTATTATTATATTTCCTTGTTCATGATAATCGTTTATTATCCATGCTAGAATTGTATTGATAGGAAACTCAGATACATGTGTGGATACATAGACAACACCATGTCCCTAGTAAGCCTCTAGTTGACTAGCTCGTTGATCAATAGATGGTTACGGTTTCCTGACCATGGACATTGGATGTCATTGATAACGGGATCACATCATTAGGAGAATGATGTGATGGACAAGACCCAATCCTAAGCCTAGCACAAGATCATGTAGTTCGTATGCTAAAGCTTTTCTAATGTCAAGTATCTTTTCCTTAGACCATGAGATTGTGCAACTCCCGGATACCGTAGGAGTGCTTTGGGTGTGCCAAACGTCACAACGTAACTGGGTGGCTATAAAGGTACACTACGGGTATCTCTGAAAGTGTCTGTTGGGTTGGCACGAATCGAGATTGGGATTTTGTCACTCTGTGTAAACGGAGAGGTATCTCTGGGCCCACTCGGTAGGACATCATCATAATGTGCACAATGTGACCAAGGGGTTGATCACGGGATGATGTGTTACGGAACGAGTAAAGAGACTTGCCGGTAACGAGATTGAACAAGGTATCGGTATACCGACGATCGAATCTCGGGCAAGTACCATACCGCTAGACAAAGGGAATTGAATACGGGATTGATTAAGTCCTTGACATCGTGGTTCATCCGATGAGATCATCGTGGAACATGTGGGAGCCAACATGGGTATCCAGATCCCGCTGTTGGTTATTGACCGAAGAACATCTCGGTCATGTCTGCATGTCTCCCGAACCCGTAGGGTCTACACACTTAAGGTTCGATGACGCTAGGGTTATAAAGGAAGCTTGTATGTGGTTACCGAATGTTGTTCGGAGTCCCGGATGAGATCCCGGACGTCACGAGGAGTTCCGGAATGGTCCGGAGGTAAAGATTTATATATAGGAAGTCATGTTTCGGCCATCGGGACAAGTTTCGGGGTCATCGGTATTGTACCGGGACCACCGGAAGGGTCCCGGGGGCCCACCGGGTGGGGCCACCTGCCCCGGGGGGCCACATGGGCTGTAGGGGGTGCGCCTTGGCCTACATGGGCCAAGGGCACCAGCCTCAAGAGGCCCATGCGCCAAGAGAAGAGAAAAAGGGGAGAGTCCTAAAGGGGGAAGGCACCTCCGAGGTGCCTTGGGGAGGATGGACTCCTCCCCACCCTTAGCCGCACCCTTCCTTGAAGGAAGGGGCAAGGCTGCGCCCTTCCCCTCTCCCTTGGCCCTATATATAGTGGGGAAAAGGAGGAGCAATCATACCTAAGGCCTTTGGTTGCCTCCTTCTCCCTCCCGTGACACATCTCCTCTCCCGTAGGTGCTCGGCGAAGCCCTGCAGGATTGCCATGCTCCTCCATCACCACCACGCCGTTGTGCTGCTGCTGGATGGAGTCTTCCTCAACCTCTCCCTCTCTCCTTGCTGGATCAAGGCGTGGGAGACATCGTCGAGCTGTACGTGTGTTGAACGCGGAGGTGCCGTCCGTTCGGCACTAGGATCATCGGTGATCTGAATCACGACGAGTACGACTCCATCAACCCCGTTCACTTGAACGCTTCCGCTTAGCGATCTACAAGGATATGTAGATGCACTCTCTTTCTACTCGTTGCTGGTCTCTCCATAGATAGATCTTGGTGATTCGTAGGAAAATTTTTGAATTTCTGCTACGTTCCCCTACAGTGGCATCATGAGCTAGGTCTATTGCGTAGATTCTATGCACGAGTAGAACACAAAGTAGTTGTGGGCGTTGATTTTGTTCAATATGCTTGCCGTTACTAGTCTTATCTTGATTCGACGGCATCGTGGGATGAAGCGGCCCGGACCAACCTTACACGTACGCTTACGTGAGACCGGTTCCACCGACAAACATGCACTAGTTGCATAAGGTGGCTGGCGGGTGTCTGTCTCTCCCACTTTAGTCGGATCGGATTCGATGAAAAGGGTCCTTATGAAGGGTAAATAGCAATTGGCATATCACGTTGTGGTTCATGCGTAGGTAAGAAACGTTCTTGCTAGAAACCCATAGCAGCCACGTAAAACATGCAAACAACAATTAGAGGACGTCTAACTTGTTTTTGCAGGGTATGCTTTGTGATGTGATATGGCCAACAAGAATGTGATGAATGATATGCGATGTATGAGATTGATCATGTTCTTGTAATAGGATTCACGACTTGCATGTCGATGAGTATGACAACCGGCAGGAGCCATAGGAGTTGTCTTTATTTATTGTATGACCTGCGTGTCATTGAACAACGCCATGTAATTACTTTACTTTATTGCTAACCGGTAGCCATAGTAGTAGAAGTAGTCGTTGGCGTGACAACTTCATGAAGACACGATGATGGAGATCATGATGATGGAGATCATGGTGTCATGCCGGTGACGATGATGATCATGGAGCCCCGAAGATGGAGATCAAAAGGAGCAAAGTGATGATGGCCATATCATGTCACTATTTGATTGCATGTGATGTTTATCATGTTTATACATCTTATTTGCTTAGAACGACGGTAGTAAATAAGATGATCCCTTACAACAATTTCAAGAAGTGTTCTCCCCTAACTGTGCACCGTTGCGACAGTTCGTTGTTTCAAAACATCACGTGATGATCGGGTGTTTTATTCAGACGTTCAAATACAACGGGTGTTGACGAGCCTAGCATGTACAGACATGGCCTCGGAACACACGCGAAACACTTAGGGTTAACTTGACGAGCCTAGCATGTACAGACATGGCCTCGGAACACGGAGACCGAAAGGTCGAGCATGAGTCGTATAGAAGATACGATCAACATGAAGATGTTCACCGATGATGACTAGTCCGTCTCACGTGATGATCGGACACGGCCTAGTTTGACTCGGATCATGTAATCACTTAGATGACTAGAGGGATGTCTATCTGAGTGGGAGTTCATAAGATGAACTTAATTATCCTGAACATAGTCAAAAGGATTTTGCAAATTATGTCGTAGCTCACGCTATAGTTCTACTGTTTAGATATGTTCCTAGAGAAAAATTAGTTGAAAGTTGATAGTAGCAATTATGCGGACAGTAGAAAGCTTATGTCCTTAATGCACTGCTCAGTGTGCTGAACCCCAAATGTCGTTTGTGGATGTTTCGAACATCGAACATACACGTTTTGATAACTACGTGATAGTTCAGTTAAATGGTTTAAGTAGAGGCACCAAAGACGTTTTCGAAACGTCGCGAAACATATGAGATGTTTTGAGGGCTGAAATTGGGATTTCAGGCTCGTGCCCATGTCAAGAGGTATAAGACCTCCGATGACTTTCTTAACCTGCAAACTAAGGAGAAAAGCTCAATTGTTGAGCTTGTGCTCAGATTGTCTGAGTACAACAATCATTTGAATCGAGTGGGAGTTGATCTTCCAGATAAGATAGTGATGGTTCTCCAAAGTCATTGCCACCAAGCTGTTAGAGCTTCGTGATGAACTATAACATATCAGGGATAGATATGATGATCCTTGAGGTATTCGCGATGTTTGACACCGCGAAAGTAGAAATCAAGAAGGAGCATCAATTGTTGATGGTTGGTGAAACCACTAGTTTCAAGAAGGGCAAGGGCAAGAAGGGATACTTCATGAAACGGCAAATCAGCTGCTGCTCTAGTGAAGAAACCCAAGGTAAAACCCAAACCTGAGACTAAGTGCTTCTGTAATAAGGGGAGCAACCACTAGAGCAGAATTACCCTAGATACTTGGTAGATAAGAAGGCTGGCAAGGTCGATATAAGTATATTGGATATACATTGTGTTAATGTGTACTTTGCTAGTACTCCTAGTAGCACCAGGGTATTAGATACCGGTTCGGTTGCTAAGTGTTAGTAACTCGAAACAAAAGGCTACAGAATAAACGGAGACTAGCTAAAGGTGAGCTGACGATATGTGTTGGAAGTTTTTCCAAGCTTGATATGATCAAGCATCGCACGCTCCCTCTACCAAAGAGATTGGTGTTAAACCTAAATAATTGTTATTTGGTGTTTGCGTTGAGCATAGACATGATTGGATTACGTCTATCGCAATACGGTTATTCATTTAAGGAGAATAATGGTTACTCTGTTTATTTGAATAATACCTTCAATGGTCTTACACCTAAAATGAATGGTTTATTAAATCTCGATCGTAGTGATACACATGTTCATGCCAAAAGATAGTAATGATAGCACCACCTACTTGTGGCACTGCCACGTAAGTCATATCGGTATAAAACGCATGAAGAAGCTCCATATTGATGGATCTTTGGGCTCACTCGTTTTTGAAAAGTTTGAGACATGCGAACCATGTCTATTGGTGTATATGCATGAAGAAACTCCATGCAAATGGACCGTTTTGACTCACTTGATTTTGAATCACTTGGGACATGCAAATCATACCACACGGGCAAGATGACTGAAAAGCCTCGTTTTCAGTAAGATGGAACAAGATAGCAACTTGTTGGAAGTAATACATTTTGATGTGTACAGTCCAATGAGTGCTGAGGCATGTAGTGGATATTGTTATGTTCTTACTTCACAGATAATTTGAGTAGATGTTGAGTATATTTACTTGATGAATCACGAGTCTGAATTATTGAAAGGTTCAAGTAATTTCAGAGTGAAGTAGAAGATCATTGTGACAAGAGGATAAAATGTCTATGATATGATCATAGAGATGAATATCTGAGTTACGAGTTT